TGTATATGTGTGTGTGTGTGTGTGTGTGTGTGTGTGTGTGTGTATATATATATATATATATATATCTATAGATAGATAGATAGATAGAGCACCTTGACTGTCAGAAAATCAACTGGCATGAATATCAGTGATGATTTTGATGACATTATAATCGGTATTTAAATGCAAACAAGTGACAGGAACATATTTCTGAGCATTTAAAAATCAATAAAAGACAGCTGCATAATGTCAGGTTTTTGTGTAGCATAAATCCTAATTGCACAGAGCAAGTCAGGGCAATGTACTCACTTTTCTCTTCACTGTTTGGTTTATATATTAATAGAGACAGTGGGATGGCTGGCACATGGCTTCTATGATGCCGTAGCCTGAAGAAGATAATTAGTTTATATGGCTTAAACAAGAATGTGACCTTTGAGTTGAGAGGAATGATATCCACACACATTTTGTTGTTGTTCCTTTGGTCCATATTCCCACTTGGTACATAAGCTGTGCTACCTCTGACCACAAAACATGGGATTCAGAGACTACTGTATATGCATTGTTGTACAGGAAATTTAACCTTGACAATACAAAAAGGAAGTGTGGAAAGGGAACCACGAAATGAATTAATGATTACTTCTTGATCTATTCATTTATAGGTAATGGGGGAAACAGGAGTCATTTTTTAAACATGGTGTAGCAAGAATATCACAATCAGCTCAAGCCGAGTAAACACAGCAGTCAGTGAGATGACCAACTGCTGGGACAACAGGTCCTCAACATTTCCCACAATTGTATATTAGCAAACCATTTTCACTGACTGGTGTCGTTTAAAAGCTGCACTTCTTAAATTTTAATTGTGAACTGATTTTAAGGTGAAACATTTTTTAATTAGCCAGCTGACAATATGTGTAGCAATGTAATTTCACTCTGCCTTTTGGGATCACATTTCACTTAACACTCAGGAAAAATAAATAAATACCCGGAGTGTTAAAAAAAAAAGTTATTGACATGACATGTCTCGAATCATGATGCAGAAAGGAAACCAACTTTATTTGAATTTTCTACCTTGAAATACAATTTTAGCTTTATTATTTTCTATTACAGCAGTTAGACAGCCTCAGTCTTATGGTGGTACAGAGAACATGATATAAATATGATGCTTAGTTTGACTGTATTCTGGAAATTAATCTGCTACCTGCACTGTTGTCAGATCTGCGTTCATGCGTTTTGTTGTGGTTGGTTATTGTGGTACTACAGTAAGGCCTGTCCCAGGACTAGGCAGCATACTGTGATCACCTGGATTCCTGGAATAAAAGAATTGAGCACCTGAGCTTTTTCTCTGTGAGAGAGCTTTAGGTCCTGTCCCAGCTGTAGATTTTAAAGTGGTTTAGCTCAGTTTAAGAAGTCTGGCACCAGTATTCCATGGACCTTTGAGCCAGTACCTCAAGACTTTTCACAGTTGAGCTTAAGGACGACAGGCTGTGATGGAAGGCCTGCCAGTGTTGATTCAGAGTGGAAATGAGAAATATCTTGACATGGTAAAAGTCATCTCCACAGCCCAGCACTGTTTGGTGCGGGGCCTCAGTGCAGTATAAACGAGAAGCAGATATTTCTACTGTCTGTATAGTGGTTGACCTTCAACAAGGCCAGGACAAACCTGTGGCCTGCATTAGTGAATGTGAGAACACTTCCAGTGAAAATAAAAGGAACTTAAATTTAACACAACAATGCAAACCTGAGAGTAGAGTTGTGTAATGTGATGAATACACAGGGCATTACAGAGTTCATCCATCCTGATCAAAAATCTATTCCTGATTTGAAAGATGTGTTAAATCAGGACTGTGTAGCAACTTGGTACTTTATTTCAGAACTGGTTGTAAGGCTCCTAAAAATGTGAAAGTATGATCTCTCACAAACCCTGTTCACTATGAGGTCCTCGGGTAAGAATGTGTGGGCTGCCTCCCTGTTGCAACCTAAGGACGCTGACTGTCATCATGTGCTGTTGAATCATGTACGGCAGACTGTATTTTAGTCGTATGACCCAGTTCTGTGTCGGTTCTAGCTGCCTCATCAGCAAACACTCAGGATTCAGGAAGTTGAATTCTTTTTAGAAGCAGTTTGTGATACAAAATACCAGACAGCTCTGGATAGGCCCATCCATAAAATACTCCACCTGATGATAATCATTGTGCAGCTCAAGAGAGGAGATGCATTGAAGAGCTGGGTTTGCATCCCCTTAATGCATCTGGTAAATGGCCACTGCACAGATGAGCACAGCTGCTGCTGACCGTTTATTCATCAGGCATAACAACAGGGAAACAGCCTCACACTTGATGCATCCTGAGTCACATGATGGTTAGCTTTGTGGGTGGTTAACTGGATGAAATGCTCTTTTGGCTGAAAATCTGACTCATGCTCTATGGACATATGCAAGTTGGAAGCCCAAAAAAATCCACAAAATCACAGTTTGTCTCAAAGGCATGAAAGGACACTTAAGTATTCATTCATGTATTCATGTCTTCGACCTATTTCACATTTGGGAATAGTAAGATTGTGATGAATTTCAGCTTGATTCATCTTGGTTAGTTCCAACACAGAGATAACATTTACATGACAAACATAATTTTACTTGTAAAATAGGAAAACTTTGAATAATTCAATAGTTGATAACCGGTATCAACCGATTTTTTTGGTTGTGATCTAAATCTTGTGTATGTCATCTGAAAACAGGGTGTTTCTCAAGTCTTATATAGGCTGTTGTTTTCTTCACTTGTACCTTTTCCTTGCGTCTTAGTTCCACCCAAGTAAGATGCAAATTAAAAATGCAACACAAACATGCTTAGGAGGGAGGGCTCAATGAAATGTATTATTAACAACTTGAGATGTCCTTTCCTCCTATGTTTAATCTGAAGCATCTAATCACCAACTGATTTCTGATATAGGGTCATGTTAATCGAGGAAAAAAAAAAAAAAAAAACTTCCACAAAGGATGGTCTTGTGTATGTTCAGACATGGTAAATGGTCTTGTATAGCACCTTTCTATGCAGATAAGCACACTGAAGTGCTTTATGCTGTTTCCCATTCACCCATTCGCACACACTGGTTGCAACTTGGGGTTCAGTGTTTTGCTCAAGGACACTTGAACGTGGATCAGAGAAGCCAGGAATCGAACCGCTAGTTTAAAAACTGTACTGTTATTATGGACTATTTACCAGACAAGCTTGACACTAAGCCATAGCAGTTTTGGACTGCCAAACCTAAACCATTCTGCTGTGCTTGAGGGTTTGTACAGTTCTCACATTCATAAACATCAACCTGGCTTCTTTTTCGTTGTCTAGAGTTTAGTGAATCCTGGAATTTTACCAATTTGTAACCGGCTGTCGAAATCCATCCCAAGTTCCGACAGCAGAGGAAGGGCAGGTTATCATAGGTTTCTTAGTAAGGCCAGGCCACAGTGATAAACAGCTTGATTGGCCCATGATGGGGGAACCACGCTTGGCTATATTACCCCATCAATAGGAGGGGAAGTGATAAAGAAAGCACAATGAGTGCATAGCATAGTAGCAACAAAACCTTTTTTCCTCCAAATGCTTCCATGAATTATAGACTTCTGTCCATAGGTCATGGCTCATTGTTCACTTTGGTCCTTTTTCTGTGTGTTGAACAACTGGATCTCAGGGGAAAGGAGAATATGTTTTACCTAAGCTATCCTCAAGTTATTTATTGTAAAATCCACATCTTAGCTGCTGCAGAAAGCTCAGCCTCACTCAAAAGTGATAATTTTGTACAGATAATATTTAGCAAATGATATTTTGAGACAACAGACAAGTATAAGATGTAAAGTATGACAAAGTTTACGCCACTGTCTCCTTACAGTGAGTCATAACAGTGAGCTTTTGACAGCTGATTTTAACTGATGGTTACTGTTTTTGAACTCACATAGCTGTTGTTTTTACCTCTGTTATATGGTGTGATACACACATGCTCAGTGCATTGTATTCTCTGACATCTTACATTTTTCCCTCACTGATTGTCAGGTTTAATCTTGTTCAAAAAGATCAACAGCTGCCTTGTTTTTTGTTTTTTTTCCCCAGCCAGCATTGCTTATTAATAAAATAGCATACTAATCCAATGAGAGACTACAATGTGGCTTCAGGCTGGGATTGCGGAGACTATAAATATATCTGAAGTCATGTTGACTCTTAGAGGCCCCAAACAGGGTCCTCTGTATTCCAGTAAGAACAGTGGTTTCTCCTGTTATCCTCCTGTTTACAACAGGGGGTATGACCTATCTGTTGGTTTTTTGTTGGTGATTCTCGCGGGCAACGGGTGGGAGATGGTTTACATTTTATCTTCACTGTTGGTACAGGGATGGGAACACCAAGCCTAGTGAGTCGATATGAGTCAGGAGGAATTACCTGACAGTTCTTTCATATACTGCATCTGCTTCATTATGGGATCCTGATTATTTACTCAGGTAATTGCTTTGTTACTGTGAGCAAAGCATGAAATGAACAGGATCAGTTTATTAGTCAGTTCAGGGGAAACGTGTGAAGCTCTGCAAATCTGTATTTGTAATGTGCAATGTTTGTTCTTTTTGTAGGGTTCCAGGTTGGTGTTGTGCGAGAGCGAGGTAACTGCGAGGAGGAGGACTGTCTGGGACGTTGTGTCCCTGGCTCTCAAGGTAACTAGAAACTTAGCTGTGTAATTCACCTGGACTGCTGAAAAGATGCAGCATAGAAGAGAGAATGCTTCTTCTTATGTATTGTTGAAATGCACAGATTCAATGCAATCCAGTGAGACACCAGCTAAACCGCTCAGAAGTACCTCCCATGCTGAAGTGTTCTGCCACTTTTCAGTTGTTGTGCCCTTTGTAGCCAGATCAGCCACATCATCCACACAAATTCTCCAAATGGTGAAACACCCAAGTTGTAAATCACCTTGAACTGACTGCACTGCATATGCTGACTGGCTGTTAAGTAACTTGTGGAGTATCTGGAACTTAACAAACAGGCTTTATTTTTGGGACTAAGGCTTCTTCTGGGTCATTTTAGTTGTTTTACGATATACATGAGCTGTGCTAAATTTTTCTGTTGTCTCAGATGCTATATGGTACATATGGATTTTAAAAGCAATGTTTGAATGACTTTTAGTTTTCATAGTTGTATGATCTTGCTGCTCTCTTGACTTAGTTTTATTGTTCATGCAAAACAGCATCCACTTGTTTCTTTTATTCTCACTGTGATGTATTCTACAGTATGTTCACATTTGTATATACAAATAATACATATTGACTTTATAACAGTTGCTCTTGCACAAATTCATCTAAATGAATGTATAACTTGACTAAGCTCTAATCCCTGTTAACATGTAACATATTGGTACTTGAGCCATAAACAGGGCTTTCATCTCTGGCCTGTCGGCAAACGAGCCTTAAAATTGGTCTGTTTACTTATGGACCCTTGATTTTTTTCGAGGTTACAAATGTCTGTTTACTGAGCAGACAGTTTCATCATATCACACAATGTCACAGACCCTGGTTTCAAATACCACATAAGCTTGGTACTGTTGCATTGTTTATGAATGCTTCTTTAATTGGCTCACTGTATCAGGAGAGCCGTCTTGTGAAAGTGTGTATCTATTGTGCCATGGTGTTGGCATTTCCAGTCATTGCATAGATTGGAGCGGAATGTTCTTGTTGTACTGCACCCACTGCCTAGTGTTGGCCAGAGATCTGCTATTGTAAAATTCTAGGAAGGGCTTGGTCCTAAGCAAAATAATCCCACTGTATGCCAGAGAAAGTCCCCCCCGGGTGTAGCTAGCCGATAAGATCAGAGTGTGGGGGGCAGTGTTGCAGGATTGGTGGGTGTTGTGAGGGCAGTAGCAGAGTGACTACAGTCCTCAGCAATAGCTGGGGTCAGAGTGCTCTAACTGTCCCTGTGTTTGTCTCATTACATGTGGATTTTCTGTTTGCGTGTGTGTACTTTCTTTTTTTTGTGTCCCACTACATTTCTGTGCCAAAGGTTTCTCTTCAGGCTTTCACCAAAACCCAGTCATGGCACTGCAAGCGGAAATGCATAGTTTTCAGTGAAGATTGTGGCCGTGCTCTCCTGAATAGTTCCATGAGGGAAATTAGTGCTGATGTCCTTGATTTAGTGCCCAAAATAGGGGTGTGCGATACTGACAAATGATTATCTGGATATTTGGGATTCTGTCTAATGATAAGCATGTTCCATTTTCAAAAATGTACTAACTGTTTCTGTTAATAGCATATTAATTGTCCACTAATGATATTAATGGAAAAGCATTTAAGGTAAACAGGCCTTGCTTATTTACTTAAACTGAAGCATTTAAGTACAATGGTAACATTTTTGCTCAGTGTGTTTTTGTGCAGGTCCCTTGGCTGGTTAAGTCCTGTCATGGAAGCGTTACGTATCCTGTACGATGGTTAGTTTGCACATGGTGAAATGAGTTGTCTTTAATGGAAACCAGTTTAGTTTACGGATTGCTGTCTTTGAGCAACATCCTTTCAAAACCAAAATACTTCCATGTGAGTGAGTGATAATCCCTGTAATGCTAGTTTTAAAAAATTGTATATGCATTTCATTTTTTAAATTTAAATTAGTCTTAGCAGCTTGGGGTTGAATGAATGACTGTTGTTGAATGACTGCATGATGATATTTGAAATCTCTAATTACTCAAAATAAGTTTCCTAGAGGTTTGCATAATTTATAAACAAATCTCCTGATGTAATGCGCTTTAGTATACACATTACCTTTTGTATAGAAGAGCCTCCGCTCTCTTCCTTCGCCTACACCTTCTTTTTCAACCATCTGTGTCACCAGTGAAACTAGCTGTCAGGTATGATGTGTCTCTCTCCCATTGTGTTGTGGACAACATGCATTTCACTTGGTGCATAACAAGACTGTGTGTGTATAGCACAACAGGAGAATGGTGTGCGTGCTGTTACAATGCAGAGACTGGTTTTACCTAACCTTTGGCTTGGATATATATTTAAGCAAAACCAACATGTAAACAAAGAAGGCTGACATTGATTTCCATCTCTAATCTGTTACATCCTGCATGTTTTTTGTGGCTTGTTTGGAATTTGCAGGATTTGTTTGAATTTGTAGGATTTTCCAGTCTGTGTCCCCTTTATCACTCAAAAGCATCTTAGCAGGGCATGATGGGAAATCACCAGCTTCCTCAGAAGCCTCAGGGTAATCCTGGTTGAATAATTGATTACCAGCTCCTGACCTTGAAGGCAGTGGCCTAATTAACCTAATTTGTACTGTTTGCTCACTGCTTGACTTCTCGCACACATTCAGCTTCACTGGCTCTCTCTCTGACTTACTACAATGCACGAGCCGCACAGTTGCAGAGTAATCTGCTGGAGCTTGGTTTTGCTTTTAGCTTCATGGACAGATTGTCTTCATGTTTCAGCATTTTCATCAGCCTATTCATTTTGACCCAGATACTCCTCTTTGTCAGTATCACTGCAGAATACACATACACACTCGCTCAAAGTGACAGCGTGCCTTCCTTTGCATGTGGCTAGTCTTCTGGGATAGCTGAGAGGAGGAAAGAGGCACATGTTTGATATTGGATAACACACATTTGATGACTCAGTGGGTCTGGTTGTAAGTGTGTTGACACTTTTAAGTGCTAATCTCAAGGGTTCTCAGACAGCTGCTTGACTTCAGAAGTGCTGTGCATTCCTGTAATTGGATCGTATCCCCTGTGCTCCAGTGAACTACTGACCTCAGTTAACTTTCCTGTACTTTGTGTTCATGGATGGTAACTTTCATCTCCAAATCTGGTTGTTCACTGTGCGGGCTTTGTGTTAGTTACTGTGTGCTGCTGAGAAACCGTTTTATTTGGAGTAGAACTCTTAACATCATAGTCTGACATATTGTACTTATTGTATTTAGAGTTATAATGAATTTACAGTCCATGAAGTTGTGGAATCATTACAGTCTTATTTACAGTTGTTCCCCAATTTGTTTCCACATCTGTGTTCAGGTTTCAGTATGTTACCCCAAACACTGAAAAATGTCTTTATGCTGTTTTCTATAGTTAAGAGGTACTGTATGTTCAAGTACGGTCTCAAGAATAGGTAATGGCACTATTTGTGATATCCTGTTTGTCCACAAGCTGAAGCTCAGAACAAGCTGGGTGATGCAGCAGGACAATGACCTGAAACACTGAAGTAAATATACTACAGAGTGGCTTCAGAGACACAGAGGGGCCCAGACCTCAGCCCAATAGACATGCTGTTCAATGACGTCAAGAGAGCCGTTCATACCAGACGTCCTAAGAATATGGCTGAGCTGAAGCAGTTCTGTAAGGAACAATGGTCCAAAGTGCCTCCTGAACACTGTTCAGGTTTAATCCACAGCTGCATGAAGCGCTTGCTTGAGGTTATTCCTGCCAGAGGTGGTTCAACCAGTTAGTAAAACAGTTGCCATTACTTTCCACCATCACTTTGTATGTTTAATGGGTATGTTCAATAAAGACATGAAAGATCATGGCTGTTTGTGTTTTTATCTGCTTAGAAATATTGATTGATATTTGTGACTTTGGTGAAGATCAGATCACATTTCATGACCAAGTTATGCAGAAAACCAGGAAATTAAAATGGTGCCATTACTATTTCTTGCAGCTGATGAACATGTTTGTCCAAATGTTTCATTTGGTCTGTGTTATGAAGTAAGCACATGTAAATTGCAGTACACTTGGAAACAATAACATTACCTACAGGATGTTTCTGGATTAATTTTGCAGTCACAGAAGTGCTTAAAAAAAATAAAAAACTACGATAACCTAGTTTTTTCCCCTTTTTAGGATTTTTTGCAGGAAACTCACAAAAATGTAATAAATGTGTTTAAGAATACATGGCGTTTTCCAAATACTGTGCATTCTTAAACACAGCTGGTTGGGAGTTAACAGTTTCGCTGTTGTGTTTGCAGTGACTAAGGAAGGGGCTTGGCAAACTGTTCTGCAGCATGGAGAAGGAAGATCTGAAGTTCCTCAACAAAGGGGAAGAGGAGGAGATGGTATGCCTTTCTTTTTATTTTACATCTGTGCCTACGTATTTTTTGCTTTCAGACTTATCAGACTACACCCTGTTTTCTTCTTTTACCTTGTAGGAGCTGCATGCCTACCATCTGTGTCGCTGGCGGTTGGCCTTGGTCATCCTCGGGGTGGTGTGTACAGGGGGCTTCCTCCTCCTGCTGCTGTGCTGGATGCCAGAGTGGTGCGTCAAATCCACCTGCAGCCGTACCACAGCCCGTGATGCCGAGGTGGTGTTGCTGCGCTCCACGGTAGGCACCAAGTAGAGCTATAATGATTAAACAGAAACAACCGAAAAGTAGTCTGCTTGTGCTTGGATAATTGATTAACCATTTTTAGTATAAACAAAATCCCAAATATTCATTGTTCTCAGATTTTTTAATGTGTGGAGGCTTTCGTACCTACATTTTATTTTGGTGCTCTGAGTGAGGTTTGGTTTTGCACCTGTAGATGTCTTGTTTTGCATGCAATTCTTGGACTTGTATTTTTCTTAATATCCTAATTTTTCACATTTATGTGAAAGAAGAAAGTTTTATTCAAACTGGTCTAACAAAAGGTTTACAAAATCTTAATTTTAACTTGTTGAAATCTGTAGAAACCCTGCAACTGTACTGCTCTCAGCTGATCCCTTATAGTTATAGTGACCTTCCCTGATCCAAGGTAGTAGTAGTTTTACAATGAATAAGCGTTAGGCTAGGTTTGTAATGGAGGGGTTATGGGCTTAATGAGGTTCAGTAATTTAACTTCACTCTATTTTTGTTTGACTAGGATGAGTTCCGGCGCTGGTTCATGGCCAGGGTGCGAGTGATACTGGCCCCGGGGAGCAACCCCTTCCACAGCCTGGACATCCAGACCACCTCCCCCTCCTCCCCTTCCTCTCCCTCTTGCCCTCTCTCCTCCTCTGCTTCCTCTACTCTGTCTAACGGACACACCTCCCACCTCTCTGATGACAGCCCTGCTCAGGAGCTCTTCAGAAGATATGTCGACTACCAGCCCACACAGGTGGGCTTCGAAGTTGATAGAAGGGTTTAATCATTTTTATGTTATAATAGAGATATCACAGAATGTTAAACATATGGCACATAAAAGAGACATTTATCCTTTTCACTCTGTCTCAGAGAGAAATATGCATTCATTTCTTGCCTTTGCTTTCTTGTGGGTACTCTTCACCACCTTCATGACACCTTAGCCTAACCATAAAATGCAATATAGGAATATCATAAATATGTCAGTTCTTCTGCTAAACTGAATAATCAAATTTAATGTTACTAGAAATTTATTTGGTGCATTTTGTCAAACTCTCTTGTCAGTTTTCCTTTTTAAATTTACCTTGATGTTTGTGGACAACACTACAGTAACACTGACATATGTCTAAGACAACTTTCCTCATTTCCCCTTCCCTTGTTTTGTTCCCCCAGATTCGCTATTTTACCTTCCACAGCGCAAAGTATTATTGGAAAGATGATGTGCAGAATTTTGAAGTTTTAACGTAAGTATTCTTTGATTGTCTTTAGAAATTTCATGGGTTTGTTTTCACCAAAATTTCACCAGTTCGCTGCAGAGCTCTCTTCCATTTCAGTAAGATAAATGTCTTTTGACGTCTTTGTTTTCTGTAGTATGTACTATATGCAGAAATACACAGAAGTTATAACATCTGTACAACCCTGTTAACTCATGAAGAGTTGCAAGATAAAATGACCAAACCAAAGCATGCAATACCAACAGCTATTATTAAAGTTCAACTTTAATTGTCAGCAGTGTTGTGTGTAATTCAAAGTGTTAACTTTGTCTCCTGCTTTGACCTACATTCCCCCTACAGCGGCCTGGAGGATCTGCAAATCAGCTGCTCCACCCTTCATTCAGAGCACACTGCAGGCTTGACCAGGAACGAGCAGGAGTACAGGTAACATCTGTCTGAAGAAGGAGGGTACACAAGGCTTGTTGTGCAGTAGCATTAGCTGCACATTGCCATTTGCTCTGACAAGATTTTTTTCCCATCATCTTTGATGTTATGAGGTCTGATATCTGCAGGGATTCTTCAGAAGCAGCCAGCAAACATATCTGAATGACATTTTGTACTGTAGGGAGCTCTGAAAAGCCATTCAACAAAATAGAACAAATCTGTGCGATTGTATGCTAATATTGTTTAGAGGGAAACCTGCATACCCTTGGCCTTTTAATTGTAAATGGTGGGCCACGTAAAAGTAGCCCTCATTGCCCGTGGCACCCGTATTGGAGATGGGCTACTTCTCTGTGGCCCACCCTGTACATTGTTGTGTATCTCTGCTATATAAAGTGTGTGTGTGTGTGTGTGTATACAGTGGATATAAAAAGTCTACACACCCCTGTTAAAATGCCAGGTTTCTGTGAAAAAAAACGAGACCAAGATAAATAATTCCAGAACTTTAGCCACCTTTAATGTGACCTATAACTTGTACAACTCAATTGAAAACAAACTGAAATCTGTTTTTCAGTGGGAAGTAAAAATAAAAAAACTAAAATAATGTGGTTGCATTAGTGTGCACACCCTGTGTCAGGCATTTCACTGCACTGGAGAAATATATTGTTTCACACTCGCTGTCTAATCTATTGAAAGAACTTTAAACTTTTAACCTGGATGAGCTGCACAGAACAACTGTTCTGAATGCTCAAATGTAAATGTCACAATATTATCGTGTTTCATTAAATCCCATCTTTGTTTACCTTTGAATTTCTTCATAATCAATATGCTGCACTGGAGCTTCAACATTAACTCTGCAGAAACACAACATTTACACAATGAGAGAGAGTGTGTGTGTGTGTGTGTGTGTACTCGTATGGCTATTAGCTAAGTATGGTTATTGTGAGGACCAGTTAGTTTTCTGCAATGGGAGTGAGGACATTTTGTCTGGTTCTCAATTTCTGCTGCACCTTCAAAGAGCTGTTTTAGGGTTAAGAATTGGTTTTAGGGTTATCGTTAGAATTAGGTTTAGGATAAGGGTTGGTTGTTAGGAATTTAATTAAGGGTAGGGTAATGGGACAGGAAACAGATTATATCAATTAGTGCCCTCACAAAGATAGCTGTACAAACGTGTGCATGTGTTTGTCTATCTAGCATCCCGAGTTCTGTCTATGGAGCAATATATGCTTCCTGTTTCCTGCTTTGTCAGCCAATGATAACTTGATACACCCTGGAGAGAGCTGTGTGGACGGTGATGGGGGAAGTGGAGGAAAGGAAGCAAAGGATGACACAGGAAAGGGGTAGAGAGGTTGGCACAGCAATGCTGCATTTGGGTTTTAAGTAAAGGAGCAAGTCAAATGATATCATCAGATCAGTCTCTTTCAGTTTTTTTGGCACAGATAAAAATGAGCAAATAAATCAAGAGCCCTTTAAATCTTGTCCATGAGAAAATAAATTGTGATTTCCACATTCTCGGCTTCTCAGAGGTAAATTATACAGACACTGAGTCAGTGGGTCTGAGCCACTTTCTCTGTGTCCAGCCTCTCAGGACACAATGCTGATCATTATACAACTCTTTCAGCTGGTTTCAAGTCTGCCTCATTTGCATATGCATAGTAAGAGGGCATCTTATTGGAGGAGAGGTGGGAATGGAAATGGATTGAAAAGCACCCAGAGAGACAGAGAGACGGAGTGAGTGTTGTATAACGAAAGGCTAAAAGGAGGAATGAATGAAGAAACAAGTGAATAACAGACGGGATGTGAGTAAGTGCTTCTAGAAAAATCAGTCTCTCGTTACCATGGCAACCTTGAGGTGCAAGTTGGCTCTGCTCCCTACGTAACCAATTATGTCTATGATATCCACTGTATGTGTGTGGGTGTGTGTGTGTGTTTAGGCAGACTGTGAGGATATATGAACACTTAACTTATGAATCCCTCTTTTATCACTTGTCAGGAGACTGTTCTTCGGAGTGAATGAAATAGCAGTGAAAGTGCCTTCTGTTTTCAAGCTGCTTATCAAAGAGGTAGGGCCCAGTTTGAATTAACATAGACAACTTTTTTTTTTTTTTAACTCCCTGAATGAAAGATATCTTGTCATCTTGTTGTTCATCTTGTAGTTTTAGCATAAATATAAGCCCAGTTAAAGGCTTATGTCAAATAATAGTAATATAATTTGGTGTATAGCACACAGAATTTATGACCACCGGACTTATTTTCCCGCAGCTGTAAGAACTTAATGAATAGTTTATTTCTGAGTGTGTGCCAGAATATTGATTGTCTGTGACAGATAATATATTGTGTGTTCCCTTCATTTAATTATTTCACAAGTCATTGATACAGTACCTGTGGAGAAATGGAACGTGCAAAAGTTGTATCAAGTAGAGCTGGATGAGTCTGTTGTTGCAACAGCTGTGACAATCAAATAATTTAGCTTTTTCTTTTAAACTAACAAGGCCAAAGACTTGATTAGTTCCATATCTTTGTGTTTTGGACTGTTGGTTGAACAAAGTAAATGGTGTATGCATGGGCCTTGAGAGAACCAATAATAGAGGAACGGCAGCATTACTTTAACCTCATGCTGGCTGAGCTGGTCGTTAGTCATCATTAGGTCATTAGTTACTTGAACTACCACAAGATATATTAACAAGGCAAACAACGGCTCATCTATTTATTTGACTTAAGGGCATCTGTGTTTCCACAGTAGGAGTGCTGTGTAAGAGAGTAATCTGGGTCATAGTGTATATTCAAATAACTCCTTTTTTAAGGTCATTGTATTTTTATGGCCATGATCTCACCTTTGCATTTGCACACTAACCTCTTTGTCTGTCTCCACCTGCAGGTCCTCAACCCTTTCTACATCTTCCAGCTCTTCAGTGTGATCCTGTGGAGTGCCGATGAGTATTACTACTATGCTGTGGCCATTGTTTTCATGTCGGTCATATCCATAGCTACCTCTCTATACACCATCAAAAAGGTGAGCTTCACAAATTATCCAGACTGTTATCTCTCATATTTATGGAAGGACCGGATTAAAAGTTAATTGGTAGAGAAATTAGATCTGCGTGTTTTCCATCTTTCCTTTAGTACTAATTTCCCAAAATGTTAACTTTGTACACAAGATGCACCCCCTTCAGCTGACCTCCTTCACAGTGGTTGCAGTCACCACCTAAGGCATGGTGCAGTCACTGCCCTGCTCATGTTTAATTCAGGGTTTCAGGCTAGTGTAAAGGCTCATGTGGACATGGCCTGCTTCCCCTGGCTTTATAGCTCTCACACTCAGATGAAAACATCCTTACAGTAATGGGAATCAAGAAGCTCCAGGGTTTTTCATGACTTTTTTCTGTTTCTTTTTGCAGCAATACATCATGCTTCACGATATGGTGGCCACTCACAGTATTGTCCGTGTGTCTGTATGCCGAGCCAACAATGGTTTGTCAAAATTTTCTCTCTTGTATTATGTATTTTGCTCATATTGTTATTCTCTATTATTTTATTTGGTCTCAGACTTTTCTGAAGAGTGCTTTTCGAACCTTCAACCTTCCGGTTGGGAGACGTCTGCTCTACCCACCGCACCACTGTCTCAACTCATGGAATTAACCAAGTTAATTCCATGAGTTGACCAGACAAGGAAAATAAACACATGTTTAGAATCATTAGGAACCCTTGCTTTGGAGGTGCTGTACAATACCTATATTTTTGTTTATTTATTGCACTGGCCCCTGTTTGTGATGCCTCAGCTCTTTTGTTCCTGTTGCCCTGACTAATGAAAGCTGTGCTGAAGAAGTTTCTGGGTTCTGACACACAAAACATCTTATTTCTCATCCCTACCCATGTTCCCCATCCACTGTCTACTACTGTTGGCTCATTAACACACGATTCACCTTTTGTCATGCTCATCTTTTTCTTTTTTCCCCAACATTGCTCTCTACCTGCTTGTATTTAATGCACAAATTTACCTTCCTTTCTCCTCTTTTGCCACCCCTTTTCCTGGCAGAAATTGATGAGATTTTGTCTACTGATCTGGTGCCTGGTGATGTCATGGTGATCCCCAGCAACGGGACCATTATGCCATGTGATGCTGTGCTGGTCAGTGGCACCTGCATCGTCAATGAAAGCATGCTCACAGGTTAGAAGAGAAATCTGAAAATTCAAGCCTGATATATATTTGTATTTAAACGTAACAACTAATCAGCATGACTCCAAACAGCCACATGCTCTCTTTATGAACGACCTTGAAACCTGTCCTATCATAACTCTTCACCCCCCACCCCATCAGGTGAGAGTGTTCCTGTGACAAAGACCAACCTCCCAAACCCAGTGCCAGGGGAGAGGAGGGATGAGGATGACAGCACCTACAATGCAGAGGAGCATAAAAGACACACACTCTTCTGTGGCACCAATGTCATTCAGACTCGCTTCTACACAGGCGAACTGGTCAAGGCTGTGGTGGTCCGCACAGGTAGGTGTGTGTGTCAGGAGACTTTGATATAAGAAGTGTTTATCTTTGGATGTTGTGTTAATTTGTTGTAAATGTCCTTGATCACTTGCATAAACCTGTGGAACCATAACAAACAAGGTTTTATATATTTAAAATTTAACTGAGAGGTGCAACTCACTTTTTTGGAAAAGCATCTCTGATGTAATACTACATACAGTCAGGGAAAAAATTATTTGAACCCCAGCTGATTTTGTAAGTTTGCCCACTAACAAAGAAATGATCAGTCTACAATTTCAATGGTAGGTTTATGTGAACAGTGAGAGACACAGCAATAACAAAAAAATCCAGTTTAATGCATTACAAAAAAAGTTATAAAGTAATTTGCATTTTCATGAATGAAATAAGTATTTGATCCCTTTGCAAAATGTGCTTTAGTGCTTGGTGGCAAAACCTTTCTTGGCAATGACAGAGGTCAGATGTTTCTTGTAGTGCCTGTAGATGTGCTTTCTTGAGCAGGGGGACCTTGCGGGCACAGCAGGATTTTCAGTCCTTCACGGCGTAGTGTGTTACCAACTGTTGTTTTGGTGTCTATGGTCCCAGCTGCCTTGAGATCATTGACAAGTTAGTCAGTCTCCAGACCTTAATCCCATAGAAAATCTGTGGAGGGAGCTGAAGGTTCGAGTGGCCAAACATCAGCCACGAAACATTAATGACTTGGAGAGGATCTGCAAAGAGGAGTGGGTCAAAATCCCCCCTGAGATGTGTGCAAACCTTGTGGCCAACTACAAGAAACGTCTGACCTCTGTGATTGCCAACAAAGGTTTTGCCACCAAGTACTAAAGCATGTTTTGCAAAGGGATCAAATACTTATTTCATTCATGAAAATGCAAATTAATGTATAACTTTTTTGTAATGCATTTTTCTGGATTTTTTTGTTATTGTTGTGTCTCTCACTGTTCACATAAACCTACCATTGAAATTGTAGACTGATCATTTCTTTGTTAGTGGGCAAACTTACAAAATCAGCTGGGGTTCAAATTATTTTTTCCCTGACTGTATGTACTGACCCAGTGTATAGGGACTTCAGCCTCCTGCTGCAGATGCTATATATATATATATCTATATCTATATATAGATATAGATATAGCCTGGACTGTCAGAAAATCAACGATTTTGTCTGCTTCATTATCGGTATTTAAATGCAAATGAGTGACAGGAACATATTTGTCAGCATTTAAAAATCAGTGAAAGACAGCTGCATATGATGCAATAGTTAAATTGCGACCTTTTTAAATTGATGATGTATAATGTTGGGTTGCCATATGGATCTGTTGGAATAATGAGACAGGCAGCACACTTATACTTCATCTGGAACTTAACCTCTTGACCCAGGTTTTAGTACAGCCAAAGGCCAGCTGGTGCGCTCCATTCTTTATCCCAAACCCACCGACTTCAAGTTGTACCGTGATGCCTACCTCTTCCTGTTGTGTCTGGTGGCTGTGGCTGGAATTGGCTTTATTTACTCCATCATCCTCAGCATCATGAACAAGGTAATGTACTGTAGGAGGCAATGAGCAGATTAAATGCATGCAATGCTCAGATTTTGAGTTGCATTGTAGCAAATGAGTGTAATTTAGAGGCCAGCTGTAAGTAAAACCAAATCTTATACCTCACAGTGGAACATTTGTTGGTTTTGTCTTTGTTGATTTACATTAATAAAACATACATTATCTGTACAACATATTGTACTGGTGTATATCACTACATCACAGCAGGTAATGCAGATGTTTTTAACCTTTTTTTTACTAACATAGCTGTTTTTAAAGCACAAAGGTATTTCAGCACCACCTAGCTTCCCACACATGTATTTGCATATGTTAGTCCTGTAACTATTTGTTCGTAGCATTGACCAGCTCACTGGGCCTGAAGCTAAAAATCAGCTTGAGATTTTTGTCCAGTAGATGGCAGCATCACTTCAAATCTTCATTAACAGAGCCTATATCCTCTTATGTTGTTTTTGCTAGCATGTTAGCATATAATTGCACATAGATCACTGTAGTTTTCTTTCCTACACCAGAGGCAGCTGGAATTGTCTGACAAATGTAAACTTAGTACTCACTCACTGACCTGTGTTTAAGGTATACTTTGGTCCTTCATCTTCTCAGAACATTATCTTGGTTTTTTGCCGTGCTAGATTTTACACTGGGTATGAACAGATATACTATCAGCTTGTGTGGGCTTATTTCAAAACTTTGTTGTTTCTGCCTTTGCCAGGTACCAGCTAAGATCATCATCATAGAGTCCCTGGACATTATTACCATCACTGTGCCACCAGCACTGCCTGCCGCCTTGACAGCTGGCATTGTGTATGCCCAGCGACGCCTCAAAAACATTGGCATTTTCTGCATCAGTCCACAGAGGATCAATATCTGTGGACAAATCAATTTGGTCTGCTTTGACAAGGTTAGTTCTAGTGGCTCATTGTCTGTAGGACAGCAAGAAAATGCACACCTGAAAATAAGCAATGTACAGAAATCTTCAAGTCACTGATAATTGAAGTGTTGGAGTCATTTTGTTAATGTTTAAGTTTGGTAGATGTTATTTCATATGTCTGATGATTAGGGTTGGACGACTTCAGATTATTTTTAGAGTCATCAGTTCTGTTATGAAAGTTACATCGATGTTGACTACTCACTGCTGATGTCATCAACAAACAAACACACAAGAAAGAGCTAGGGGTTGCAGCTCTGAAATCAGCTGTTCCACCAGCTCCCACTGTCATGCTCTCATGGCTAGTGACTTTTGGATACTTGGTTTGGTGACTGTTTCATCAATGGCACAAGTCAACACATGTGGTGAAGCAGACTAGTCAACTAATCTTTGCAACCTATACTGATGACATTACTCGGATGAATTCCAGCTGCCTCTGGTGGTGTCACAGTGCAGACCACACATTTTGGATTGAGTTCATTTTATTTTTTTTGTGTGTGTTTTCAGACTGGAACTCTGACAGAAGATGGATTAGACATGTGGGGAGTCCAGAGAGCTGAGAATGGCTGGTAAGTTGGTCTGTACTCGGATTAAATGCTGATGTGTTTTGGCTTATGTACTTCTCATCTTTCCTTGTCCACCTCCTGCTTGTCCTGCTTCACCAGTTTCCACTTACCAGAGCAAAAAGCCTACAGTCAGAATCTTGTCAAGTCCCAATTTGTGGCTTGTATGGCCCCCTGCCACACACTTACCAAAATAGAGGGACAGCTGTCTGGAGACCCACTGGACCTCAAAATGTTTGAGGCTACAGACTGGGTGAGTTTTTTTAGTATCTGTCCATAAGTTTAATGTTGGTGAGGGCAGCATGGCACACATGTGATTATTTTGGCCACCTTAAAAAGATATATAGACACTATCGGCCACTTGGAATTATTTTCATGTTCAGACCACCATTGTGTGTCAGAGAAAGTGCGAGGGAATCTAAAAGATAATTATTTGATCAAATATATTTATCTTTTCTTAACGCTTTCATTAGTTACTCTGATCCCTATTTTCTCTAAACCTTTGTTTGCCCAGATCCTCGAGGAGGCCACTGAGGAGGAAACGTCTCTCCATGACCGTATCATGCCCACTGTGGTTAAACCCCCAAAGCGGCTCTTGCCCCCAGAGCCTGCTTTATCACCAGAGCAAGACATGGTATGTACAGCAACCTGGTTGTTTAGCAGCACGACCACAGTCAAAGTCTGGGAAATGTCTAAAATCATATATTTATCTAATCACTACAAATAATGAGATTCAAATATACACAATCTATAAATCTAATAATAAACTGTTGTGTAGTCTTGGACATGTTATTTGTTTTCATGCATACATCCACAGATTATTTCCTAATCGGCAACAACCATTATATTTTTTTTTATTTACTGTAGCATAAATGGACACTAGCATTTTGTATAGAGCAACAACAGCAACATTATTAGTCTGAATGGCTGGTTTATTTGTTTTTACATTTAGTTTGCTCACCAACTCATCTCTCTCTCTGCTCCTTTTCTCATTCTTAGGAACTCTGTGAGCTCTCTGTAAGTAGTGTGCTTCCTTTTTGGAAATAAGATTGTTTATGATTTGGACAACCAAGTGCTTAAGTTTCCCAATATTTTAAATTATCTCATCTTTTTGACATTAGCAGATGAACATTTGTCTTTAGTGTCTTTGACATAAATTGTAAAAAATTGTTAATCTGTCTGTGTGTGTGTGTGTGTACGTACTTGTGCAGTCAGCGTATGAGATTGGTATTGTGCGGCAGTTTCCTTTTTCCTCCGGTCTCCAGAGAATGTGTGTAGTGGCTCGTCTGCTCGGGGAGAAACGTATGGATGCTTACATGAAGGGAGCACCAGAGGTGGTTGCTAGTCTTTGCAAGAAAGAGACGGGTGAGGTTTCTAATTACTGTAACTGCTATGTTTGTGAAAAGAGCCAAAAAAAAAAATGTTTTAGTCCAAATCATTAGCAAAACCCCAAACCTGAGGGTTTCAGGAGGTGAGTACAAGTACATTATGTAAAGAAAATTATGGAAAATCAATCAACTGAAACTCTGTCAGATTATGTGTTTGGACCCTCCCAGCCTCTTCAATGGCCACGTTTGGTCCATGTATTTGAAACACAAGAACATGTGACTTGGTCAGATGTCTCAAAGATGACTGAGTGTGTTTGTTTATTATTTGTGCAGAACTGGAACAGCTTCACCGGTTCTGCTGGAGCACTTTATTGTTTGGCAAAAAATGACTGAAAGAAAACTTTCTCTTGTTTTGCTGCTGTTTGGACCTTCCCACTTTTATTTACCTCTCCACTGTTTCAATGTGTTTTTGCAGTACCAGAAAATTTTGCAGAGGTTCTGGAAGGCTACACCAAGATGGGTTTCAGAGTCATTTCTCTGGCTCATCGTCGTCTTGAATCTAAACTCAACTGGCACAAAGTCCAGAACATCAGCAGGTAACATTTACCGTTTATATTGCATTTGTCCTTCAACTTACCTGTTTTTCTTTTCCAGATAACTGTACCTGAGGATTCCTGCTTTATCTTCTACTTTAAAGAGGTTAAATCAGGAATCCTCCAGTACTGTATGTACCTGTGTGTGTGTGTGCGTGTGTGTATATATATATATATATACACTAAATGAAGAGCTTCATGTGTACTCAGTATTACATATATTCCTTTTAACTAGGGATCACATAGAGACAAACATGGAGTTCCTGGGTCTGATAGTTATGCAGAACAAACTGAAAGCAGAAACCCCGGGGGTGCTACAGGAGCTCCGCCGAGCCAACATCCGCACTGTCATGGTTACAGGTGAGAAAAAGCACAAGTCTGCACATATTCACATACACATATACATGCACACAACCTTAAATCAAGGCTACATGTGCATCATCGTTGTCTTTAGTTAAAAGTTAGTTTGCACAAACAAACAGATATGCAAATAACTTGGAGTTCATACACACACAGTCCTCACATTCTTCTTTGTAGCTGGCTAAACCTCTTAAATCACACAATACAAGCAGCACAATAAGTTGGGTTTTGACACTCGGTAGCTTACATTCTTCTGGTATTTATTCATCTCTGCCTATAATCTCAACTAATCTCATTTCTAGGCTGCTCAGTGTAGCTGGCACAAACTAACTCCAGTGTCCACCAGGGGACATTTTGTTATTTTTCTTAACTTCATTACCTTTTGTTTTCACCGGTTCCTCTGTGTTCTAGAGGTTGCCACAGACAAAGGGCATTAAAGCTCTAACTGTTATTTTTGCCATTTCATTCTGTTCTGTCAGTCTGAAAACCCCATTTGCTGTGATAGTTAAGGGCTTCAGGCCAATGGGCTTCTATTTTCCGTTCACCATTTTATAATCAGTCTGAGGCAAGCAAGCTCTCTGCTAATTGAAATAAAAATATAGGTTGGCATGGGATGGACCACTCTAAAGTCGTTTCATGAACATCTGGAGAGGTAGAATGTGACAAAGCACAACAAGACACTGTTCCAGCAGTATTAGAGTATCGGTCTACTTGTAAATAATAAATAAGTATATAAGTATAATAAATGTTTACTCCATCCGCATTACAGGTGACAACATGCTGACAGCCATCTCGGTGGCCCGAGACTGTGGAATGATCCCTCCACAGGACACAGTCATTATTGCTGATGCCTTCTCTCCCCATGATGGACAAGCTGCCAAGATCACCTGGAGATATGCCGACAAGTCATGCGAGACATCTCGACTGGAGGTGAGGCGAAGGGGACAAAATATTAATCCTGGCGCTTCACAGAGGCAATAAAACCAAAAAAATTTAAATTGTTTAAGGTCAGTTGGCTGGTGAGCCTGAAATGCATCTTGTCTAACAAAAGCCTGTGTGAGTGTCATCTTCAAATGTGTACTGTCTCATCAGTGACATCTATATCAAAGCCAGAACACCCAAATATGTTTCTGGTTTCATAGAAAAGAAACCGTTTGAACAGCAGGAGTTGTTTACGTAATGCATCTTAGATAGATGTTTGTTCAATGCTGGTAATTATTAAGGCTACCATACAATGTTATCATGTAATGTTTTGGCTCTAATCTATGCTTTCATGGCATTAACAGGAAGTGAACATCAGCCTGGAGGATGTGTGTCACGTAGACGAGCCCAAAAGGCAAGAGCTATACCACTTTGCTATGAACGGAAAATCATTTGCTGTAATTGAAGAGCATTTCCCTGACATGCTTCAAAAGGTACGGGGTTTCTTAAATGAGAGTTGAGGTCACTTTAACATTTTCTGTAATAGGAGTAGCCATGTCAGACTTGTGCCTGCCATTGTTTTGAGGATAATTATCTCCATGATGCCTTATGTTTCTTCTGTGATGTTTTCTGCCTCAAAGCTGGTGTTGCACGGGACAGTGTTTGCCAGAATGGCCCCGGACCAGAAAACCCAGCTTATTGAGACGCTGCAGGGTGTAGAGTGAGTGTTTCAGTCAAAGACATGATGAAGCTATAAAAAATTATTTTGTCAAACTTTCAAATGTTTGTGGTCTTACATCCACCATGTATACTGCTTTCTAATGAGTCTCATAATCATCACCTGAATCAGCTTTCAGTCAAAACTATTTTAAAAAAAGAAAGGTATGTTTTCTAGATCTTTAGGGAATGTGAAAAGGAAAATGTAACTATCATTTGTTTTCAGCTACTTTGTGGGGATGTGCGGAGATGGAGCAAACGATTGTGGGGTATGTAAAGCCACTTCACAAATGAATGTTGGTGTGACAATACCATATTAAAATGGACACACGTTAACTGGAATCTGTACATAAACTATCCTGTTCTCTTCCCTGTTCTAGGCTCTGAAGAGAGCTCATGCTGGCATCTCTCTGTCAGAGCTGGAGGCTTCAGTAGCATCTCCATTCACCTCCAGGACCCCCAATATCTCCTGTGTCCCTAGCCTCATCAGGTGTTTTTCTTTGTTTTATATGCTTGTCGCAAAATAAATAGAGAAAAAAGAGAAAATATCAATCATGAATATGAGAAATAAAACTTGAAAGGAACATCTCACAAAATCAACAAGGGCTTTTGTTTTGCAGTTTTTGTTATTACTGTGTTATATTATTACTATTGATGGATAGTGATTGGAAAATATTGTTGATGTTATGTTTTAATAATTATTTTCCTTCTTTATTTGGTGCAGTTTACATTTATGCTATGGCTTGTTGACCTGTGGGGTTTTATTTTGGGACAGAGAGATGACAGTGTTGTTTGCTTGCTTTGATAGAGAGGGGCGAGCCGCTCTCATCACCTCCTTCTGTGTGTTCAAGTTCATGGCCCTCTACAGCATCATCCAATACATCAGTGTCACTCTTCTCTACTCTGTATGTAATGCTACATCTACAATCAGTGGAATTAATGGGAAGTATAGTGAATTCACTAGTCTCTGATCTGTGCTGGCTGCTGTCTTTGTTTCTCAGATCCTCAGTAATCTTGGAGACTTCCAGTTCCTCTTTATCGACATTGCCATCATCCTCCTTGTTGTCTTTACCAGTAAGTATAAAAGGAGTGTTGTACCACACACCTTTATTTTTCCGAAACTGTCTTTACTTCCTGATTTTATCCACACCTACAGTGTCTGTTTTCTGCTCATGTTAATCATTTCTACCTGTCTTTCTCCTTTTCAGTGAGTCTGAACCCAGCACGGAAAGAGCTGGTGTCTCGTCGTCCCCCTACAGGTCTGATCTCTGGACCTCTGCTGTTCTCTGTGCTGACCCAGATCCTCATCTGCTTGGGCTTCCAGACCATTACATTCCTTTGGGTCCAAAAGCAGCCGTGGTACACAGTCTGGACACCGCTTTCTGAGTGAGCACTCACTGTCATTACTGATGAACAGCAGCCAAGCCAAAAATAGCAGCACATTTTGTTTTTTTTTAAGTAGAATAGCCCAGGCTTTGTCTTGGAGCCTGTTTTTTATGCTAAGATGATTGCTTTATTTAGTTTAAACAATTTTTAATATCTGTTTTAAAAAGAATTGTTTCAAAATGGCCTTTCATTGTTCCTAAATTATACTCTATCTTCAACCAGTGCCTGCAACATGTCATCACATATTAATGTGCCTGACCACAACGACACAGAAGTGGACGAACACAACATCCAAAACTACGAGAACACGAGCCTCTTCTATGTGTCGTCCTTCCAGTACCTCATAGTCGCTATTGTTTTTTCAAAGGGCAAGCCTTTCAGACAGCCCAGCTACAAGAATTGTAAGGAAATTGCTTTTTAACACTAAATCTGTCCTAACATGGTTACAAAATTACTTTTCTCTATACTGAATTTGTTTGTGCTCATGTATGTTCTCCCCAGGGCCTTTCGTGGCATCTGTCCTGTGTTTGTATTTTTTCCTGCTGTTCATCATGTTCCACCCTGTCGAAAGCATTGACGAGTTTCTCGAGGTAGGGATACATCAAACATAAACCTTTACTCAGCTCTGGCACAGACTAGCTTGTTTTATCCTGCAAACCTCATATTACATTCTGTTAATATTTTGATAGAAAGCACCTTTATCTTTACTAAAATGTTGCTAACGCAAAGCTTTCTTGTTAGGGTAATTACCCTGCGGGTTTTTAATGTCACCACAGTGATGGTTGATGTTTCAGGGTTGCTCTCCCTCTCTTTACAGATTGTTTGTGTCCCTTTTAAATGGAGAGTAAAACTGTTCCTCATCATCTTAGTCAATGCTGGTGTGTCTGTTGTGGTGGAGGTAAGACGCAAATCAACACATGGTAACAGTAGATGTTTTTTCTCATGTTCAGTTTTTGTTTTTTCATGCAGTGTTCTCATCTTTGTCTCATTTAACTGGACAGCAAGATCAGCGGTGTGAGAAGGAATTATGTTCTAAAGTGAAATGATTTCCTTTAAAGATTCAAACTACGGTTTCTATAATTAACTCTTGAACTATTTCATGATTTTTCTTTGGTGATTATGCCTTTGTGGGGCTTTTGACATTCCTCAAAGCAGCATATGTTTGTCTTGTCTAATTTTTGATAGATGTTCTTTAAGAAATTGACTTGCTATTGTTCAATTGCATAACGGGATAATTTATGCTGGCTGTCCACACTCAGAGGTGTGGTATCACTGTACCTCCGCTTTCCTTTTAGCTGGCTGCCAATGCACCCAAGCATTACTTAGCAGACACCACAGATGAAACTACCAATCCAAATCACTTTCACCTTTTAATTGAATGAAAGTCAACCAAAATAACTTTCCACAGAAGCAGACATGTCAGCAGAGTTTTGAATATTTTGAAACGATGCACCCATGCACCCTTACTAATTTAATTTAATTTTAAGCTCACATTTAATGATTAACACACAATTTAATGGAAGAAGACGCCACACATTATTACTCAAAACTTTGATTCAGTGTGACGCTGAAGACGCAACAGGAGACATCTGTGCAAAACAAGCATGGGCAATATGAAATCAAATTAGCCTCTCTGTAATTTTCTCCCCTGCCCACTGCACTATTCCATAGACCTTCATCCTTGACATCGTCTTATGGAAGCTTGTGTTCAGCCGAGACAAACAGAGCAGCTTTGGCGTTCCTCCTGCTGCCCCGACACCACAGGTTGGGAAAATCTGACACATTCTTCTCTAGCCCTTTCATTTTGCTCTTGTGTGGTGTTCCCTGTTTCCTTCCCCACTTCTTTTGTCTAATGTTACACAGAGCACTTTTCAGTTTTAACCTCTAACCAAGACATGCATGTGTGAGACGTCAGTCTCGTTCTGATTTGCCGTCTCCCTCGTGTTTCCCTCTGGGCACTCTTTTCAGGGCTTGATAACAGTTAGTTGTACACCAAAACTCTCACTTCCTTCAATAAACCACCTTGTAAGATTCCCCTTTAACAAGATGGTAAAACCATATCCTTAGCTATCAGCATGTTGAATTTGTGAGATGTTTGCTGAAGAGAGTGCATCTGCACAGCCAAATTTCAGCTGCAAAATTCAAGACTTAAGTACAATTAGAGTTGCCAGTCAGAACCAGGATCAGAGAGGAAGCAGTCTGTGGCACATGATATCAGATAGTGAAGCTAATCTTGAAGATGTACAGAATAAAATCAACAGAGACAAGGCATGAATATTCAAGCAACTTCAACCTTTTATATGTGAAATAAACCCTTGAGGTTGTGGCATACATTCAAATGCAATATGTCTTTAAATACAGAGTGCACATATAATTTCAATATGTCCTGGAAAACATCAGTCCAAAACAGAAATTTGTTTTATTACATTCATTGGTTAAACTGTTTCCAAGCCTTGGATGTAGCCCATTAATTTCTCTGAGACTCATGTTTGCTTGCCACCTCTTGTCTATCAATCTAGCACCTCTTCTTGCTGCACTTACCTGTTAGCTCACTGGTTCCTATCATATACAATATGTTTAAAATTGAAGCAGACCTGCATTAAATGTCTTTTCCAATTTCAGGTTAATGAGAAAATATTAGTGTTAAATTTGTAAAGATCTGCTGTGGAATCCTTTGTTTGATCTTTGACTCCCTGAGCTTTTTTAAAGAAGTGGGCTCAGTGTTTAAGCTGTCTACTGCCGACACATTCAGAGTATTGTCATGCTGAACTTTGCTTTGAATGGCCGGCATACATGCATACTTGTTGCAGTTTATCATGTCAGTCTCACACCTCCAGTTTTGTCTGATTTGTCAGTAAAAGTGTTTTGGTGAACAAACTATAGCACAAACTGCAAACTTTAATCTCTTCCTATCCTCCTTTTTCTGTTATTTTTATTTTATTTTGTATGTATTTGGACTGTGGTATTTTCAGAGGGCCATTGACTTGCAGACATACAAGTGTCAGTCCTGGCTGTGCTGCTCACACCAGATGCCGAAGGCCCGCTACATGCATTTGGCCAAGGAGCTCAGTGTGGACCCCGACTGGCCTCCAAAGCCAACCACCACCACTGAAGCCAAACCCTGTCAGAAAACTGCTCCATCTATCAAATTCTGACCAATTCCTATTACCCCCACAGCCCTTCCCAATATCTAATGCCAGTACCGCATTCATACAGAAATGCATATGTCTGTTCACATAAAACTATAATAGTTGCTTGTTGCTGTTCACAATGAGATTTGTCTAATACTGTAGTTCCAAAAATATTACAGCCAAAAGTACAGGATTATACATAAGTATCAAGTAAAGCCAAGTTTCACCTCTCTCAGTAATCTTGCGCTCTCTGGGTCATGTTCTCAGGTCTCTCTTGTTTGTCTTTAAATGTCATTTAAACATCAGTAACATCGAGGTTAATTCCCATGCCTTATTGCAGTGTCTGTTCACCAAAGCTGAGCAGCATTCAGGCTGGGATGAGCTTTGAAAAGCCATGTCAAACTTGTGCTTGATCTTCAGATAAACTGCCAAGCCAGGTTTAATATTCCCTCACTGTTTCTGTTGGAAAGGGGTATAAAAGAGAGCCAAAGTCCCACTCCTCTTCAGAGGTTCTGACAAATGTACAGACTGCTAGAAAACAATGCCATTGTAAATATAATAATGACATCAGCAACACAGTGCTAGGTATTAATTTTAGACTAAGAGTAAAATAGCCTGATATCTTGGCCTTTAAGAAAGGTCACTGAAAAAACTGAAAATGAGAAATATATTATGGAATCAAACAGTGGACCAGAAGATGGGTTGTACCTTGGACCTCTTTCTCATTGAAATTGGCTCCACTTTAAAATGGTGATGTTATTTAAAGTGGAAAGCCTGATGAAGTTAAATGTGGATGGAGTAATGGATAGATAACTGGGAAGTGGCTGTACTGACTAACTGTGTATAGTGTGAGCATGGACTTCTTAGCAGCAGCATAGATTTCTAAACTGTGTTCATGTTTCTGAGCAACCACCACCCCACTAACAGGGCATTCACACAGTAACTTGTTTCATGGGTCAACCTTTTGGGGGTGGTCTCTTATGTAAATATAGTCCTTTTAATGAGCTAGCATAACCACTTGACAAGCGCTTATTGGGGAGCATAGATATTGTATGTAAAAGCTCATCATGGACACCCAGGCCAGGTTGGTTTAGGCAGTGTAGGCTGTTAAAATCACAAGCCTTATTTACAAAACACAGACCTCGCCTATTGATAATTGAAATTAGAAAATGACCTTGGGAACTAATTTGAGGTTGCATTTTCATCATAAATTTGCCAAAATGTCAGTATATACTGAGATTAAGTGCTTTACTTTTACAAGCTGTAAAGAGACTAGTATCAAAACAGATACAGGATGCTCACCCACAGGCTGGGACCTGTGGCAAGCTTTTCGTTGTTTGTCAGTTTACCTTAGAGTTCAAGGAAAAATACATTAAATGTAAAAAAAGACAAAATCAAAAAGACAAACCTCCGCTTATTAGCCATGCCAGCGTAGTGGAGCAATTACTCCAGACTCAAATCTTTCTGCAGCTAGTGGGTACATTGCCATGAAATTTGGAACGGTCTTGTCTTTTTTTTAAAATTTTTTTTACACTTCAGATTATCCATGCCAATGCTTCAATTTCTAACACTATACCTCTAAAGCTAATGATTGCATTCTCATCAACCTCAGCTGTATTTTGATATCACTGCTAACGTAGCATGCTAAGAAGCTACATGTTTTTCATTCGGGGGGGGGGGGTAGTTTCCAAGTGTGTAATAGTGTGTAATGAGCTTCAGACCTTCATGGCCTGCTAGGGTGGCTATGAACCTTTTTATCGTATGTTTTTGCATTGATGAGACTTGTCCTATCAGCCTTTAATAACATCAGACAGGTGACTGAAACAATAACAAGACTTGCATGAAGGCAGCTCCCCATCATCACGTTCTGGAGTCTAAATAGTTGCAGTACAAAAAATAGTACTACAGATATACAACGTTAATATAGAATTAGGGAACATCAGCATTAACATATCTTTATTTAAAAAAAAAAAAAAAAAAAAAAAAAACCCCACAAAAAACAAACAAAATCTGACTGGGTATTAAGGGCAGTTAATTACATGCATGAAACTGTTTGAATCAGTGCATCCTACATCTACAAAGATTGGCTACAGACAGCTGCCAGTAGCACTACTACATGTATTTGAATAAATATTCTTCCCATGGAAGATGGATTAAAAGTGTCAGTAAATTAAGGTAAGGAACTGTGCATCCCATCTGCTCACTCATTCAAAACATCCATGCAATAGCACACCTTGCATAGAATGGCTGCTGATTACCATATACAGTACTGCTGTATTCATGTATTCAAATAGGCTACCTGCATAGAGAGTTGAGGACTATACTTCATGTTCATTTCTCTTAGCATTTAAAGAGATACTCTCCAAAATCTGTTCTTTAAGTATTCTTTATACACTACACTTTGAAGGTGGCTGGAAGAGTTTATAGTTTCTTCCTTTATAAATCCTGATGTGGAAATTCAGCCTGTTTTAAATAGATTTAATCTCTGAGCAAACAGTGGAAACGCAGTTTACACTTCAGAAGTAGAGTTGGAAATCATTAGAACTGACTACAAGGAGAGAAAACTATAAACCTATTGCCACCACAGGTAATGTTTGATAGTCAAAATGCAAATTTAGGGTAGAGTATGACTTTAAAGCAAAGACACCAACACAAATGCAGCTGGTTCCCTATGTTAGAATAACTACAGTCATGGCCAAAAATATTGACACCTCTGCCTTTCTGTCAGATAGTACACCACTCTCCCAGAAATTTGCTGCAATCACAAATACTTGGTATTCTCATGTTTATTTCTTTTGTTTGCATTGGAACAACACAAAAAGCAGAGGAACACAATCTGATCCATTCCACAAAGAACTTCAAAAATTGACTGGACCGAATTGTCGTCACCTTTTCAAAATCATCAAAAATAGTTGTATTTCCAGCATGAGATGCTCCTTTCAAACTCACCTGTAGCAACCAACCTAGAAATCACGCTGGCAACCAGTTAAAATGGAGAAAAGTTGACTCAACCTTTGTGTCGTGTGGACCACACTGAGCATGGAGGGGGGGAAAAAAACAGAGCAAAGAATTGTCTGAAGATTTGAGAATTACAATAGTGGAAAAGCACGGACAATCTCAAAGCTACGTCCATCTCCAGAGATCTTGCTGTTCCTGTGTCCACTGTGTGGAACATTGTCAAGACAGCTCATGGCATTGTAGCTAATCTCCCTGGATGTGGACAAAAAAGAAAAATAGATGACAGACTGCAGTGAAGGGTTGTTCAAATGGTGGATAAAGAACTTCGATCAACATCGAAGCTAATTTGAGATGACCCACAGGCACAGGGTGCAACAGTGTCAGCTCTCAGTATCCACCGCCATCTGAATGACTAGGGATGCTCTGGTAGGAGATGTAGGGGGACCCAACTGCTGACACAGAAACGTAAAACAGCCATTTTGGAGTTTGCCAAAACTTACCCGAGGAAGCCAGAATCCTTCTGGGGGAATGTCCTGTGGACAGAGGAGTCTAAAATAGAGCTTTTTGTTCGAGCACATCATTTTACTGTTTTCAGAAAACAAAATGAGGTTTTAGGGTTGCTTTGCTGCTTCAAGCACTGGATATTTTGACTATGTGGCATTATGAAATCTGAAGACTACCAATGAATTCTGGGGCACAATGTAGGGCCCAGTGTCAGAAAGAGCACCTGTGGAGAGTTTTCAAAACAGCAGCTGGGAGAAGAATCCCTTCAAATCTGAGAGACCTGGAACAGTTGGCAAAAGAAGAGTGTTCTGATATTCCAGTAAAGAGGTGTAAGAACCTCTCTTCTGATGGTTACAGGAAGTGATTGGTTTCGGTTATTTTGTCCAGAAGGTGTGCTACCAAATATTAAGTTGAGGGTGTCAATAATTTTGTCCAGTCCATTTTTGTATTTTTGTGTGGAATGTATCTGATTTGGCTTTTTTTCCCTCTGCTTTTTTGTGTTGCTTCAGTGCAAGCAAAATAAAGAGAAACATGAGAATACTAGAGAATTTGTGATTGCAACTATTTTCTGGAAGAGGTGGTGCGTTGTCTGACAAAAAGGCAGGGGTGTCAAAATTTTTGGCCATGACTATATATATGTATAGCAGCCTGCCTTTCATGAATTGTACGATTCATATAAATCATTTCAAATGGTGTGTTTCAAGTATTTTCAAAGCATGAATCAATGGTTATGAGGCACCTTGTTAACAATGTCAGACAAAATGTAAGGTGCGTCTCCTCTGTGACAGAATTAAGTAAATTGCATCTCATACATCTTGTACCGGCGCTGTTATCTGTCACTTTGTCATGTATGACATGATGCATTGCGCTTGCACACTTTTTTTTAAATAATTGCTTATATATGACACCGCAACTGATTTTCTTAATAGAAGTAACAAGAATTTAAAGTTGCTCAGTTGTTAGAAGCCATTATCTTTTGAATACTTACCACAAATGCATATGAAATGTGATTCATACCATTTCTATGATGGGCTCAAGTGTGACCATAGTTATGATGGATATGTTTATTTGGTGGGCAAAGTTCTAGTTATTTGTGGATAGACTTATCAGTGTGATAAGGATGATCTATACTGTATGTAGTAGAAGAAAATTATATTTTGTTAAAAGTCTCGATTGTTTTTCTGTTAGAATTTAACAATGTTGCTGATACTTCTGAATATACAGTATTTTTTTTTCTTCTATAGTACTTACTGAGGCTACTGTGTAATTGAATGTTGTGTAAAGAATGAAATTTTATGCAATGCAATCCTATGGTTATTGAATCTATTTCCAAAGATTTTTCATCCCATCTATAGAAAATTCAGAAATATTTTATTTTTGCCTGAGTTCAGTTTCTGCAGAAGTGGTGATAAAAGTAGAGGTTGGATTTTATCTGTATATACGAGATGTACAGTTCTAGTATTTGCATAAAATTCAAAAGATCTATTATAAACATGTATGGTTTTTGGATTATCAAAGGGCTGGCGTGTCTTTTTCTACTATTCTGGTACTGTCTTAAAATCTGTCAACGTTTGATTTGTACTGCCTGTTGATTTATTTGTACTTTTCACTTTTGTTGAATTGCATGAGCTTGGATCTTCCTTTATATGGGCAAGAATCATGGGAATTTATTTCATAAATGAGTCAGTTATGGTTTAGTTCAAATAGGACACATAGATCAATATTTGACTTGGGGGGAAAATAATGCAGCACATCTAGAGTTTGACTGAAGTTGAACTTTAGCTACTCTGAATTGAAGCTTTTTTCTGTGCAGGCTCCTAAAGCAGGTCGTCTTCGTAGTTTTTCTTTTACTTATTTGTTTCAATGCATTGTATAAATCCAAGGATCTGACACAAGAAGGGAATTCAACTGATTTAGTGTATTTGGCACCTCATCTTAGCAAATTTGGAAGTTGACCAAAATCTGACAATCTTTTTACTTTTCTGTCCATTCATTCAATGTACATATTGTAATTTGTGTGTGTGTGTGTGTGTGTGTGTGTGTGTGTACGCGTGCATCTTCAACTTTTTAACAATGTTTTGCACCCATGTAAAATTAAAACGTAATTGGCCAAAACGATGTGCATCTCTACTCAATACAGTGCTCTATTGTAGAAGTGGTTATATTGCTGCTATGGCCAGAATGGGTCGGTCTCAGCTGTGTCATAACCATGCACCTTGATACAGTAAATTAGTCAATTTCTAATGCCCTGCAAAGTGTAAATGCTATTGCTTATGTTGAACGCTATAGTTTTGCCTTTTGTCCTGACAGCTATGTCAGAGAATTGGAATCTACATTTAAACCCCTCTGCTCTTACACAGGTACAACATATTGACTATTGACCATTTGCATAGGCCTCTTATTCAACATCATGTTTTTTTAAACAAACCATTGAAAAGCATTGAGTCGGTCATGGATTGTATGAAGAATCATATGGATGATGTTTCCTCAGGGAAATGTCTATTTGTAATAAACTGAAAAAATAATAAAAATACATACCCAAACTGGATGGAAAATATGCTGTTAGAAAAACAATGCAGTCCATCTGTATGTCTGCTCTTTGCATAGAGTTATTTCATGTGCTTTTTTTAGTTGTAGTTGCCACATCGGGGTAGAGGATCATCTGGGGTATATGCATTTTTTGTAATGGCAGAGATGTACATTTTAAAAAACAATTTTGTACTTTATAATTTATTTTTATTTATTTGCTTTTGTCATTTCCCTGAGGATTGTATTTCTGTTTTATCTTGCTTTTTTCCCCTTTTCAATAAATGTTTTCAAATCTGCTACAAGTCTTCAAGTTATTTGTATGTAAAAGTAACGTCTCCCTTGGGTGTAATGGGATTCCATAATGCTGCCGGAATTGTGAGTAGGCAGAAGAAATGCAAAGTACCTTGTTCATAGAATTGACTAGTTTACCGAGTTTTCCTGAGTCCAGTACCTTGTAAAGATAATGTGGTCACAAGAACAATTACTGACTTTACAAGTTAAGAGAAATTGCTTTAACAGTAGAACATGATTTATTGTGATACTGATGGCTGTGCTGTTTCACAGGTAGTGTCCTCCCAGTACAATCTTAAGATGCTTCATTTTGAAGAGACTTTGAAATGTGATACACCATGCTGGCCATTCTTTCTAGGTGTGTTGGATCTGGACATAAAATTGGGACATATTAAGCTTAATTTTTGTTCGGTTCCTACTCTCAATGGTGTTTGTATTAATCCCAAAATTTACAAAGATCCTGTATAAATCAGAAGTCAGATAAATTGTTTAAAAATGTTGTTTTTTTTTTAGGGGGGGG